GGGGTCGCCGTCACACAAAGGTTGAGAACCGCTGTACTAAGTAGTTCTTTTTAAAGAAACCCACTTGAAAATGTAACTAATGAAAATATCCAGAATGAATTAGTACATGTGTGAAATGTTTTGTTTCCCGTTTTCTCACTTGGAATAATCGGAGCTCAATTCCAGGAGTTGCTTGCTCATTACTGGAAGGCTATCATCCATCAAATAGTTTTTGATATCTCAGGTGGCTCCCAAATAGGTCCACTGAAGGGGGAAATGAAATGTTCTGGGAGAAGAAGACATGCTTCAGAAAGCAAGTTATCTTTTTCATATACCTAAAATCCAGCACACACTTATTTTAATAATAAATATATATAACAAACATTGTGGCTCTTCCACTTTCTGTAATGTTTACATTGGTTTTAAATACTGTACTTTGAATATATATAGAATGCACAACATGCTGTGGTTGCATGTATAATTCTGCATGTATGTGTGAAGAGTTGGCAAGCAAATACATAAATATATATACACATACATACATGCATACATACATATACACACACACGTACATATATTTCAATAAAATAAAAGTTTAGTTTTATGAATAGGATTACTTTCTAAAAACATAGGCATCATATATTTGAGAATATTATAAAAGTATAAAATTGATTCAACTTACTTTTAATGTATCGTTTCATTCATATTGCTGCATTACAGTGGTTATGCATTTTGTTATATTCTAGTGAGGTTTCTAGAATGCATGCTGATGTATACATAATGTTTGATCATTACTGTTAATCAATGCCATTGATTACTACATAACCTGGTACTGACAATAAGACAGGGCTTTTCAAATGGAAGAGAAGAATAAATATTGAGAGAATTCAAATATTGATCAGTGATAGATTATTACAGTCTGCATTTTCAAGGTTGCTCCTTTTTGTTTCTCAAATATGTATCTGATCATAGTTTTCATGCATAAGTTTATGTTTCCTTATTTAATGGTAGAAGTATAAGTCACAAATTCTTTACTGTTCGAATCAATACAACAATTAATAGCACTAGCAATAGCGCTTAGACTTATATACCACTTCACAGTGCTTTACAGCCTTCTCTAAGCAGTTTACAGAGTCAGCCTATTGCCCCCAACACTCTGGGTCCTCATTTTACTGACCTCGGAAGGATGGAAAGCTGAGTCAGCCTTGAGCCAATCAGGATCGAACTGCTGGCAGTCGGCAGTCAGCAGAATTAGCCTGCAATTCTGCATTCTAACCACTGCACCACCACGGCTCTTAATCAAAATAAAACATATTTTTAATTGAAGCTGAATGCTCAATAGTACAGTACAGTAAAAAAAACCTTTTCTTGAAAAGATATTCATGTGTAGCAGAAGACCTTATTAATCCATTAATTTCTCATTTTCCATCTTCCACAGCGCAAGTGAGCAAATAGGCAAGAAATTGACAATGGACCATTTTCACTCTTTCATTTTAACTATGTTTGCTGTAGATTGTGGGCCTATAGACACTAGATGGTGACTCTAGATATTCTGGAAATGTTTAAAGTTCTTGCTTTTTCTCCAAAGATGGAAAGGCAATTTTTTTTCCTCTCCATTCCAATTTAGATATTCAAAATACAAGTACAAGTAGAATTGTCAAGAGTGTTTTATTTTTTTATCAGTTTTTCTTTGCTCAGTTGGTGAATCATAAAAACTAGTTTTAAAGTCTCATAAATTTGCCTTATCCAATCAATATGAAGGTAAAGATAGTCAGGTAATTTTTGATGCTATAGTTTTCTGTAGGTTAATTTCAGCTTTTTAAAGCTTTTTAAATAAGCTTTAAAGCAGGGGTCCCCAACCCCCAGTCTGTGGACTAATACCAGTCCGTGTCATGCCAGCAACCGGTCCACACGAACAAGTGAAGTCCCATCCGTGGGATGCAGGCAGTACTCTCCGGTCCGCGAAAAAACCTTTCTCCACAGAACCGGTCCCTGGTGCCCAAAAGGTTGGGAACCTATGCTTTAAAGCTTTTTTTCTTTAAACAAATGATTGGCTAATTTTAAATAACGATTATAAAATAATAGAAGCTAATAGTTTTAAATTTGAGAGTTAGCTATGGTTTTGTTTGTGTTTAAATTTTCTTGCCATGTTTCTTCAACATACAATTTTTGGCACATTCTATATACCAATATTAAATCAAACTTATTGTATAGCAGGATACAAGGCAAAAGTTATTTGCCTGTGGAATTAATGTTTAGGAATAATTTGATGGAGATCAGTACGGAACTGTTTATTCTACATTGGAGTAGACAGAAAATATTTGACACAGTTATTGAATATTTGACACAGTGCAAGAGGCAAAGGGCTGCATATCATTGAATTAGTAGTTTTGTTCTAAAAATGGATGAACAGTAGCATGACTGTTTAGTGGCAAAGAAAGGAACCTCTGCTCTTGCTCTCTCTTTTCTTCCTTTAAATATGTCCCAGGATTGAATACTGATACAGAAAGATAGGGTGATAGTCCCCATTTAGTCAGATGGCCACTATGTAAGACTCTTGGTTTAGGCAATATTGTTCCTCTTAATGTTACTTCTTTGTGCCATGCATTAACTTCCATCTACGTAAAATATTTTCTCTATGATTCTCTTCATTGATTTATTTGTGGAGAGATCATTTGATAAGATTGCAATGTTATGTTCGTGTGTTCATTATGAATGCCTTAATGAACTCAGCAAAGCTTGTCTTGGATTAAACATAAATAGTAGAGATTATTTTTTTTCTTCTCTTTTACAACCAGTGTCCAGAGTTGTAAACCTGAAGACATTGTAGAATTTTGTAACCTGCCCAAAGTTACCTATGTATGAGTTGGGCAGCTATATAAATTTGTTTAATAAATAATAAATAAATAGAACAGAGATATAGAAGGGAGAAGAAAAGAGTCAACTCCATGTAGCAGAGGTCCTCAACCTTTTGGGCACCAGGGACCAGTTCTGTGGAGAGAGAGGTTTTTCTGCAGACTGGAGGGTGCATGGTTTTGTGTGCTGCCTGCATCTCGTGGCTTTGCTTGTTTGTGTGGACCGGTTGCTGACATGCCACAGACTGGTACTGGCATCTTACAGCTTTTCTTGGACTTCCCCTTGCTATTATGCCTTTCCAAAGATGCAGAGCATTCTCTTTCTCTCTCTCTCTCTCTCTCTCTCTCTCTCTCTCTCTCTCTCTCTCTCTCCCTCTCCCCCTCCCTCTCTCTCTCTACACACACACACACATACACACACACACACACTGATGGGATAAAGGGAAAAGAGCCATCATGCCTGTCATGACACAATGCAAATGATATCTAATTTACATCATTTGCACAATGATGTCATGACATTTGTGAAATAATTGTGTCTTGCATTGGGTGTTTCTGCTTTCAGTTGTCCAATTACTGGGCAATGTGATTGAGAAAGAGGATTTGCTTACAATTATTTTTCTATACATGTTCCATAGAATTGGCTTGTAAATTATGCATTTAAAAGCTCTATAAATACCGTACACTTAGCCTTCATTGATTAAATAAATAAAATTCCCTCTCTGTCTACATATTTTGTACCATACTTTAAAACTTGTGATTTTAAAAGTAATTGTTTTATAATTAATGTGGAGGTGGATGCAGTAATTATTAATTGCTTGAATGCTCCAGGATTTATATGGAAATGTTTTCCTTGAAACATTAATCTGAATCGAATTGCTGAAAAAAAAGATCTGATGTTCTCTAGATCTCCAAATCCTTGGAAATTGCCTACAGCTATTTAATAATTTCTGACTCTACCAGAATTCTATGCTGTTTCAATTAAAAATAAAGGAACCTGAAGAGGAATTCTAATGTAGTTAGCTAAATGTTATAGATGCTATTTGGAGAGTAAACAGAAAGGAAGGGTAAAATGGAAAGGGAGCGTTGGAGAATTTTTACATTCATACATTGTTGAAGCTTTGTATGATCGGCTGAACAATGAGAATTTTATTTTCTTCATTAAAAGCTTAATAAGGGAAGAAAAAAGAACAGTAGTAGTTTGGGTTCAATAGCTAAGGGTGGTGTTTCAGGTCAAAAAAAAAAAAAAGAGCCTGTTCTCCTCAGGATATTAATATGTACCTTTGGGAAAAACAAGCTATCTGTTGAGGAAGCTGCAGCTTTATGTCCTCATCACTAGAGATCTCCATATGCCCTTGGATCTTCCGAAGTCAGAAATGGCAGATCTCGCTTGCTGAGACCAGAGGGCTCTCATTGTGATTCATGGCAAGTATTCAGCTCAATCTGCCCAGAGCAAATCTGTTTAATGTTGATCAGCTGTCCATCGGATAAGTTGAATTGATATGGACATTTTCCTGGGAGGACTGCCCTGACAATGACAGCAGGAGCATCAGGATGCCTTATTAGTCTCTGTCTTCTCCCTCTCACTCACATCAACAGTAGAATATATTAACCCTTCCTTAGACCTTGGATTATAGCAGAATGCAGTTTTCTGTTCTAGAATATAAATGGTTTGTATTTCTATTTCATTCTGGAATATAGCAAAGATTGACCATGATTAGAATGTTTCTGTCCCATGCCGCCCTGTGTACCTCCATAATTTGATATATAGCAACACCAGCCTAGCTATTGAATCAATACTACTACTGCTGAAATAGGATACAAAATGATGGTATGCCCATAAGACTACAGTATTTTGGTCAATTTACATCCTTAACTTTTTTTTCTTAATAATTGTTGATGCATTAAAAAGTGTTAATCCACATTTGAAGAATGGAGGAAGGATTTACATTTTAAATTGTTTCAAGTTTTCCAAGAAATAAAGATTCTGCTTCAGATAGAAATTGTAATCAAAAGTGATCATTGGCCAAATAGGTCCAAACAGAGTGAATGTTACATTTGCACTAATAAATACCAAGTTCTGCTCAAAGATTTTTTTTTATAATATCTGTGAATCATGCAGTGGTTGTGAAACTAATTGTATTACATCTGATCTTTACTTTAAAGTCAACGAACTCTTGCAGAGATCACAGAGTTGATCCACACAGCTTTTCTTGTGCATCGTGGAATAGTAAACATTGCTGAACTGACATCCTCAGATGGAGCATTGAAAGATATGCAATTTGGAAATAAAATGGCTGTCCTGAGTGGTGATTTTCTTCTAGCAAATGCCTGTACAAGTCTTGCTCAGCTGCAAAATACTAAGGTAATGTGATTCCTGTGGTTTTAAATGAAAACATTTTAGTATGTGTTTTACTTCAAAAACTGCTCAATTGCTGCTTTTTGTGAGCTTGTTTTGTTAGAAACCTTAGTGCTCTGAAGCATTCAGTGTCACTTTACATTGTACATACATCCCCCATCTGAAATTTTACTAGATATGAAGTGTCAGCTATGTCAGATGAACTAAATATGTAAAATGTATACTGTGACATTCTTTCTCATATTGATTCCCAAAGACTCACTAGTGAGATTAGTAGGAAGATCTGTCCTTGCAGAAAGAGTGAATTAAAGTAAATGAATTATAGCAGTTTTGATTAATTCTTGAGCATCTTTTCAAAAGTGTAAACATGTGGAACAAGTGAACACTGATGGGCTGGCAGCAAATATTCATTAGTAGAATAGGATTTTTATGACAAGAATGATCACAAGAATCACAGGCCATGCTACCTGTTTCACTCAATATAGGCAAGTGACAGTCTACAGCAGAGGTGTCAAACTGCTGGCCTGCAGGTCCGATGCGTCATGCGGAAGCTGTGCCCACCCCAGCTCCGGCAAGGGAAAATAGTCACGATATGTTGCAACATCTCATGTGACACGGTAGTTTGACTACCCCTTTGCGTGTCTGTCAAACATATATTTTGTGAATTGGCTACTTTACCAAATCTGTTTTGGAAATTAGAAGAATAGCCATGGATTTTAATAAAGTGTAAATGCTTTATGTTATTCTGTATCAAATACTATTTCTAGGCAAAGAGATGTAATTATTTTTAGCTTGCCACAGTTCAGATTTAAAACACAGTGATCTACAGAATTATGTGACTTCTCAACTAATTAAGCTGCTTGTTCTGAAAGTTATGCCAAAACATATTATCATCTTGTTCTTATTTTAGACAAATGAAAACTTAAGAAACTTCTATATAACCTAAGTGGAATCTACTCAGTATTTATCAGCTCATTCTCTCATGTCTTAAAAATGTGATGAAATATAAAGTATAAAATGCTTGATAGATTGGTTTGATATTATAAAAGATACCTTTTTATTTTTTGTATTTATTATACAATTATGTTCTTAAAAGCCAAAAGTTCTTCCTCTGTTGTTTTTCTGCCATATAAGATATACATGCAGCTAGTATATTAACTTAATTTTATTTATTTATTTTCTTAATTACTTAGGTTTATTATACCTCGGTTGTTACCAATTCTCTAGCTATTCTAAACTACATTCTAGTTCAGAAAATAGATTAATAGAATAATAAAGTTACATATATATATGTATAATAGTGTAAAGTGATAATAAAGTGACACAATTCAAATTATACTATCCCAAGGAATAAAACATTTGAAAATAGTCACAAATTTTTATGTGTTTAGCTACATAACGTCATGATATCATGAAAATACAAGTTACTCTTGTTGTCTTTTAATGCTCCTCTAACATCTTTTCTGCATTATGCTTGCCTTTCCATTTGTTATTTATAATCCTTGCAGAACATCAGTCTTAACTTGGGGGGACCTGTTAGAGATAAAAACTGACACCATGCTGTCCCCAGTTAAGAAAATTCTATAGACATATTACATGTTACATACAGATATAGAAAAACAGAAACTGCATTAGTTTTTGCACATAGGAGCAAAGAATACATCTTATCATTTTTGTTCATTATTATGAATTGCTCACATTGGAATTTACCTTAAAGACTCTGTGGGCTGCTTTCTTTACTTGGCGAAAATGTGCAGGATAAATTCATGAAAGTTCTGCTTCATGCAGTTTTTGAACTTTTCGATCTTACTATACCACTTGTGATCTCTATATTTTGCAATCTGTTAACAAGGATAACTAAGAAATTTAAATGATTTGTGAATTCATTACAGTAGTAACAATGCTAGCCATGGGAATTGACAGTGAGAGAATAAGTACAGATTTGTTTATTGATTATTGTTGCAAGTAGTATAATATATGTATCTAAGATTTCTAATGTTATTTTGCAATATAAATCCAAAATTAATTGTATCATGATCTTATACCTAATTGTCAGAGCTTTTCTACAAAGCATTTATCTTGTTTCTATCAAGGTTGACAATTACATGTGAAAATTTTGGCTTATAATGAAATGCAGAGCTATTTTATAATTATCAAGGGTAAAATTAGCAAAGTCAATTATTTTCCCTTCAGATCTTTCCAAGTAGATGTTAAAAGAGTGCATGGTAATTGCCTTAGGTAGCACTATGATTCTTAAATAATCATTACTTTAAAAATGTTGCTAATCTTGTCACAATGTATCTTTTTGCAATAATACTATATAAATATGTCAGTGTTGAGTGAATCTATTGAAATGTCAGCTATAAATTGCATGCAGTTGTTGCAAGCAAAAATAGATTGTATCTACAATTTTAAATCATGTTATGACTTTTCTCAATTCTTACCCTGCACATATCCTTTTCATAGTAACATATGAAGATCATGTTTAGAAAGTGACAATTTCAAACTTTTTTGGTCTCACTAAAATTACTATTTTCAGTTCTGGAATCCTATTTTCTTGTCTTTTCATTGTGCACTGTGTAACATCTAAATTAATGTGTAATTTCAGAGTGTAAACAGGGCTGTCAAATTCATTATCTCTTGAGAAAATATATAGTTAACAATAATAAAGTATCTGATAGTTGGGAGTACTCTGAAACAGAACAGTGGGATGTTATAGGATGGAAAGCAAAGAAAACCCTGTATTAATGGATTTTAGTCTTTATTGCATATTTATTTCACTATCTTAGTGTCTCTATTTATTAGTTAAACTTGCTCACTCTTAAATGGGTGTAGATTAGATATGAATTCTGAGTTGAAAGATCAATATGTAACAAATATAACTATTTACCGACATGGTGGTTTGTTGTGTAAGTTCTGAAATCACATTGCATTCAAAATATAAATCATTTGCAAAGTGATTGGAATAGTTGTTATAAACTTGACTGAACTGTTTCAAACTCAAAAGGGGTGCTTTCCATTCAGTTGGCTTCAGAGTGAGTTGAACACTACTAGTGGCCTGCATCCCATGGCTATAAAAAAGGTGCTTCTTGGATTAATCCTCCTGAATGGGACACATCAGAACCTTTAAAATTGCATAATAAAGTAAAAATGTTGTATGGAACATAGCATTTCATATATACGGAATAGCTTCAATTGATCAATATGAGGCAGTATTGTTTTGTTAAGCATTAGTTGTTTAAAAATAACCAATTACACAGATGTACTACTTATAGAGTGGATGAATTTCCATATGCTAACTTTACATATTTCTAAAGGCAAAAATATGTTGCTTACCAAATAAACTATTTGTTTACATAAATAGCATTGATTTATGCAAACAGCGCTTCCTTCTGCACAGAATCCAATAAACCATTTCATTTGTAAAGCAAACTGGCAGCGTTGGGAAGTTTCTGATTTTAAAGACAACAGTATCAGCTGTATCCACAGAAGGGGTATTCTGTTTGTGAAGATACTTTGGATATAGACATGGTTGTGGTTGAAAGACATTGTTCTGCTCTCTTGCATAGCTTTTTTCTCTAGCTTGTTCCAAATGGAGCACTCTGGTTTGTATGATAAGCTAGCAAATCGTACATACGGCCATCTGTGGTTTTCTGGCAATGCTGATTGGTAAGAGGAGAATTTTGGCTTGCCACGATGCTTGAATGTTCATGTCGCAGGTCTAGCCAAAAATTCTATTATGAATGAAGCTGGTAGAAAATACTGATGTATCATAAATGGCCATGTCAATTTAAGAATCTGTAATATATGCCCAACCCTGTTTAATAATAAATAAATTTGATTGTGAAGTTAAATGTTCAGGAAATTTAAAAAAGCAATAACTGCATCTTTAACATATTGCCGTTAAGTTGCCATTCATTTTAAAACTAAATATGGTATCAGTGATTGGAAGCAAAATAAAATAAACAAATATTAGTTTTAATTAAACCAATTATTCTCATTCATGTACAAATGTATAACGTAATCCAATTAATTGGGGATATTTTTGATGAGGGATGTTCTAAATCTGTAGGGTCTCTTTTTATCACTTATTGTAGAAAAGGAACAAAACCATAAGTGAAAATTATATTTTTGTTAGGAATTTCATATGATCGGGAGAGGGACACTTTTGAATTAGTCTTGACTCCTGCTTGGAGAAGTTTATACAATTTTCTTGGCAAGATTTTCAGAAGACGTTTGTGCTCTTGCCTTCTTCCTAGGGTGGAGAGAGGGAGAAAGACTGGCCGAGGTTCGCCCAGCTGGCTTTGTGTCTAGGGTGGGATATGAACTCACAGCTTTCCATTCTCTAGTCTGCTGCCTTAACTGCTACACCACTGTTTCCTGATGCTAGCAACAGGACTGCTGCATAGACTCAACAGAGAAATAAGATTTGTGATTTAAAATTAAATCAGAGGCTGAATTTGCAGAGGCCTTTAGTAAATTTTTCAAATAAAAACCAGAATTTCAATACTCTCTTCTATGGACAAAGCATAGCTATGCGTAGCTATTGCAGGCCATTTGGGGTGAAATTTCAGGAAGCCCATCAATATTGACTGCTTCTCATATTCTTCTGCCTGCATGGAGATAAACAATATTTTGTGAGTTCTGGACGCTCAGTAGAACATCTTGTGTCATTTTTTAAAAAAAATAAAAGTTTCTTGTGTTATTGAAGATCTCAACAAAGAAGAATAGATCTCACCTTCTGGAGAATTTATATTATATTTGCAACCATACTGATGTTAGATTTACTGAGTGAATGACTACACCTATGTTAGCAGTTTATTATATTTTAATTCAACCTTCTAATTTTGATTAATAATTATCTCTAAGATTGAATTGTGGTTTCTTCCAAAATTAATCCCATCAAATAAGCATTAGATTTTAAGCACTCCATTTAGCTAAATTGCATTGCAGTTTTCACCATAGCGTTAGCAATATCTTTCTATGTTTGTTATACATCACGATGA